CACAGTCAGATCGATAGGGCTAAGGCTAGGTCATTTGATTTGTTGGATTATGAATATATCCCAACGGTCTCGGATATGCCTGTAACATTTAAAAATAAAGTTTATTATACATATACCCCAATCAAAACAACTAGAATACTGAAATATATTTCAAAGGCTTATTTACAATATTATTACAGATTACAGACTTCCAAATCAATTTTTCAGATTTTCAATAAAAGTTACATAGAATATTTAAGCACTTTAGTTGCCAAATTCCATTTTAGCCAATTCATGCGTATACTTAATTTTTTTGTCCATTGCTACGTATACGTAATATTGGTTTGTTTATTTTTATTTTTATTTCTTTTTTGCACCCAACCCATATTTGGAGCTCTTTAGCTATCACTCTTGAAGACCTTGAATATATTTTCTAGGGCATAATGGAATCATTTGAATGTTCCTAAGCGAAGCAAAGCCATCAAATTAAGGCGCGTCGCGTGTGCCCAAATGCGAATGTTCTCGCATTTGGAATGGCTAATTAGAATTCAGAAAGGAAACAAAAAATATGCTTATGGCTCCGTAATTAAGCAGCCAATATTAATAGCTTTTCATGAAATTTCTATGCAGTTCGTGTGGCTGCTGACGGCGACGGCGAAGCCAGCGTCCAGCGGCAGCAGCAGCAGCTTGCCCTCACTTGCGCCTCCAGGTGACGCCACCACGCCCACAACAAGCACAGGCAACAAGCACATTGTGAGCTTTGTGAACTCCAAGCGCGGCCCCGCCCCGCACGCAGAGTTCGACTTTGAGCGCAACGAGGCGGAGGCCATCAACTCGGTACATGTGCAGCAGCTCTTCGGCAGCCTGCTGCAGTTGCAAGGACCCAGCAACAACAGCCTGGATACGGATGATGCGCCGGACAGCGAGCGCAATACCCTGGACGATGAACTGACCCTGATGGAGTCGGTCGGTGAGCAGCACGAAAGCTCCACAGAGCAGCCAGACGCGTGGCATCGCATCAAGCTGGCCATACCAGTGCTGGAGCCGGTCAAGCACTTGGTGAATACAGTGGGAGGCGGCGGGGTGAACAACACGCACGTGATCAACAACACGCACCGGCTGATCGGGCACAGCGGAGTGCATCATTCACCGCATCCGCACAGTAACAACACCTCGCCGGCCATCGAGACGGAGGCGGATCGCGAGGAGGCCATCGATAGCACGGGCTTCGATCTGCTCGAAACGCTGGGCACAGCGGGCACTGTGCTTTGGGGCATGCTGCAGAATCTGCGAAGACTTTTTGCAGCCAGTGCCGGCAATGCTAGCACTGCCTTCTCAGGTGGTGCAGGCGGTGGCGGTGGTGGAGGTGGTGCAGCCACTGCTAACTAATTGCAACGGGTGTGGTGTACTGTGATTAATCTAAGCGCTTACCTTGGGGCATTTTCAATGTTTAATACTAATGAAATATACGACAATTAAATTATGCATAAATCAAATAAAGTCATTCACAATAATTGCACATGGCCAACTGTCGACCGAACTCGGGCAGCCTCTGCTGGCGCCAACGCATATTCACTTTCACCTGCTCCAGTACGCGCAGCAGGCTGCGCGTTGAGCTCTGCTGCAGCAGCACCTGGTGGCCATTGATGAATGTCCTCAACTGCTGGTAGTCCTCCTGGGAACTGCTGTGCTGGGCAATCAGGCTGAGCAGTCCAATCAATTCTCGCGTATTCGAATTATAGCTTCAAAGAGAAAGAGAGAGAGAACGTGAGAGAGGGAGAGGAAGGGGATAAGAGAGGGAGAGAGAGAGCGAGAGAAAGAGACAGTGAGATTGAAAGGGGAAAGGGAGAGTGAGAGAGGAAGAGAGAGAAAGAAAGAGAGAGTACGAGTAAGAGAGTGAGAGAGGACCAGAAGGAATGTGAGATTGATACTAAGGGAATGTGGGATCTGACCCGTTTGCGTTTAACTTAACGAATTCGGGATTTGTAGTAAATTCGTAGCACTTACTACTTGCGCAGCAGCTGGAACTTTTTGAAAAAGAAATCTCTAGCCACGTGGGAGCCCACTTCGGTGTGCACCATGGCACCGAAGATGAGCGAGGCATCCTGTTTGCGTATGAAGGACTGCTCATGGTAGATGATTCGCAGATAGCGTTCCAGCAGACCCTTTTTGTGCGAGCAGGTCAGGGCCAGCAGAATCACACGCTGCTCGCTGGCCAGCGAGCTGTTGCGATATCTGTGCCATAGGAAGGTCCAGTCCTCCCCATCGCCATGCCGCATGGCAGTGCAGTAGACCACGGGGCGCAGATTGATGGGCACGGGATTCGTGCTGTCCGGCTCACTGCAGATGAACCAGCGATGGTAATAATTGAGGGCGCGTTCCACGCAATCCTTCAGAGACAGGCGACACGCCCACTTGGTAATCAAAGCCTTGTGGGACACATGATGCAGCTTATTCCGATCGTTCCGCATGCCTCCCAGCTGGCAGTAAATGGGCGACAGCAGATGATACATAAAGTGCTAGAGATGCGACTTGTTAAGGAGATGAGCAGAGTAAAGGGATTTGGACACACCTGAAACTTCTCGAAGTCTTCTGTGTGACGAATAATGCGATAGATAGCATTGATCTGGTCAAGTGCTGCTCGCCAGGGCATAAACTCGTGCTCCTGCTTCACATAGGTCAGAAGCTCCAGGGACATTTCATAGGACATCAGGCCAGTCCAGGCCAGAGCCAGTGCATCATCCAATAATTGGGCGCGATTCATCACGTTGATGCGATGGTATTCGTTGCTGTGCAGCGCCTTGCTGATCAGTTCCCAGTTGTCGCTGTCGTAGTTGATGCGATAGGGCGTCGACACCTGGACATTAAGGATCAGCCATTCATCGTCGCCAGGCAGATGTCGCAGCTGCACCGACAGAGGCTCGTTTAGTGCTGTGCAGCGCAGCCAGGTCTGCGGCTCGGTGGCTATGAAATTGGAGGAGCTCTGGGTGGCATAGCTAATTGGCACAAACCAGCAGGTATTCTCAGCCAGAGGATGTTCCGGTCGTATATACGCGTGATCCTCGTGCAGGATCAGAAATCGTTGCTGAGTAACTATTGCCGTGTTCTTGAGATACTGCCGCTTCACCTGGACCAAGGGTATGCCTTTCTGCAACGTCCACGTATTCATCACAGTCTGCACCTGGAGATCGAGCGGCATGCTGCCGCATTCATGTGCCGCCTCAGTCAGTGCCAGCCACAAGTCCTCCTGCCTGGCATTGGCATAGGCGTGCTTTTGTAAATAGCAGTGGAGACCCTTGAAGAAGGCCACATCCCCAATGAACATGTGCATCATGCGTATGACGACTGCACCCTTGCGATAGGTAATCGCATCGAAGAGCTCCGATATCTGGCTGGCCCGACTGACTTCTTGGTGGATGGGCCGGGTGTGGCAGTATGCATCCGTATTGAGCACGGCCAGCACATTGTCCAGCATGTCCTCATCGTAGGCATGCCACTGGCAGCACAGTTTCTCTATGCCCAGCGTGGCCATGTATGTGGCGAATCCCTCGTTAAGCCATAGATCATTCCACCATTCCATGGTGACCAGATTGCCAAACCACTGATGGGCCAGCTCATGGGCAATGATATTGGCTATATGCTGCTTGTCCACCTGTGAGGAGGCGTCCTCGGCATAGAACAGTGCCGCCTCCCGGTACGTGATCAGACCCCAGTTTTCCATGGCGCCAGCACTGAAGTCCGGCACAGCCAACTGATCCATTTTGGGCAGCGGATACTCGATGCCAAACATGTCCTCAAATTTGCTCAGAATCCTCGGCCCCACCTCTGATGCATAGCGACACTGCTCAATGGCCGCGGCACGTGCCCAGGTAGTGAAGTGAACGCGACTCTTGTGATTCTGGGAGACGTAGCCCTCGAAGTTGTTGACGCTGTAGGCCACCAGGTACGTGGACATGACCTCCGTTTGCCTGAATGTGCTCCACAGCCAATTCTGGCGTTCGCATCTGCAAATCTTAGAAGAGAGCACATTACACTGGCACCACATTCGCCATATACTCACATGGGTATTCGCTCCAGTAGAGGCATATTGCTAAGCGCATTGTATTTGGCATGGTGACCCAGGGTTATGTTGAAGGTGGCCTTGAACTCGGGCTCATCGAAGCAGGGAAAGGCATTTCTCGCATCCGCCGGCTCAAACTGCGTCACAGACATGAACCTGAAAAGAATGGATAACTGCATTGGTGAAGCATTGGATATGATGTCACAAACTGTTTGCAGCAGTTGTCTGCATTGTCCTGATACGAGCTAACGTAGTAGCCAGCCATGTTCTGTCCTAATCTTGACCAGAAGCGCAGCCGCAGCGTATAACGTTGGCCACGCTGTAAATATTGCTCGAAGTGCAATATTATGAAATTATACGTCGGCTGACGTTGCATACTTTTGATCTCAATCAGCTCGTTGCAATGGTATTTCATAAGTTGTACGCCTGTGTTGCATTCAGCAATATTTAAGCCGGTTCCGGCATGCAGTGTGATATTGTTGGTGGACTGGATAATGCGCAGCAGTATTTCAACATCGCCCGTGAAGATGAGGCGTTTGGGACTCTCCAGGTGTGTCATGATACGCAGGTTGTAGTGTTGCGGTTTGATGGAGCGTGGCAGGCGATAATAATCGTAGCTGGCGTTGCAAAAAGTTGCAAGGACAGCGCTCAATAGCATCAAAATACGCATTTCAAATTTGGCGGGAATTGAATTATTTTTCGACTTAAAACGCACAGTGTTGACGCTGCCAGATAGGCAAAGTGAGGTTCAACTGTTAGTTCAAGTGTTATCGATAGCTCAGAAAAGTACTGACAGTTGTTTTTAATAACACGACGCTGCTATTTAACATAACAGCTGCGTGAGTGGAACAGATTGGCAGCCCTCTGCACGCATATTTGTTTTCCTTTTGGTTAGTTTATTCGCCGCTGCTGCTGAAAACGGACGTGTTGGATAGATTTACGCGTGTTATAATAAAATATTAAAACATTTTGCGTGTAATTGTTAAAAATTAAAGCAAATACCTTTAGAGTTAAGTAATTAAAGTGTTTTGTGTCTCTGTGAGAATATTTTTGTGCAAATGATGCGCGAGTGATTGTAGTGTTTCGCGTTTTGTTCAAGGCGAATGTACGACACAAAGCAAACGATGTGCTAAACGAGCGTACAAGCGGTGAGAATGTACAAAACACAAATGTAAATAAATAAACCAAAGCTGATTATTCAATTGTTAATACTTAATAACGTGCTGAATGCGACGGGCAAAAGTAAGTCCATTTAAAAGTGATTTAAACCTTGCGACAAAGTGAAATGAATTATTTTATTGCAGCATGTAAAATGCGAACAGCTGTTTTCTCAGTCTCTGCTTTGATTTCTTGTTCTGTTTTTGTTTTGTGCTCTGCGTGCATGCCGTGGCTATGTTTATAAGTAAATTGTTCATTTTATCTTATTTGTTTATTTTGGTTCACGCTCTGCAATGAGCACAGCGTGTGGCCTCTTATGACATCAGTCTCAGTTAGATGTATGTAATTTAAATCTTGCTAATTTCTTAGTTAACCAAATGGGCACGTGTAACATTAACACCTTAGCCACTGTGCAGTTGGCAATTATTAGCATGACTCCAATTGAGCAAACGCATGTGTGGCTAATATGAATGTGGTTAATTTGCCATGTAAATGCTGTTGCTTGTATGTTGCGCTACTTTTGCAATTAAAGTCTTATAGGAATGTGGTAAATTTTTAAAGCTGAATGCTAAAGATAGTAGTTCTAAAACTATCCCATAATAAAATCTTTCTTTTTAAAGTGTAATGGCACTTCCATTAAATTCCAATTGGAGTGTGGTCAGCATGCAGCGGCCAATATTGCTTTAATATGCCGGCTCTCTTTGCAATTTACAGTTAGCACTATGCTGCCAACTTATTTTATTTACTTGCTGTTTATTGGCACAACTGCAGAGCCAACAATTCGTAAACATCTGCACACACATATGCACACGCGACACATGCACGCACACTCACACACATACACTTACATTTGGCGGAAATTGAGAGCAGCCCACTGTAGATGATGTCGCCTGGGCGGCAAACAGACTGGCTCTGTTTCCATCTATATTTAGTGTGCCAATTTCGTTGTTGTATATATGATTATTATTTTGTTGTTGCTTGATTTACGCTTATTATCTGTGCCCACACTTCGCCTATACATTCTTAGTTTGATTTGTTTATCGAAAGGCGTTTATTTTGTATGAGCATTCGCTTTGTGTTAACAAACAGTAAAGTGTTGCCGGCTTTTCCATTAGACATTTGCTCCTGTGTGTATTCCCTTATTTTCACTCTTGCGTTTAATATAAATTTTAAATTAAATTATCAATGAAAATGCTGTAAAATTGCATTTACATAATTATTTAAATTAACAAGTTTTCTTTTCCATATAATATCATATAATTAAATGATGAAAATCGTTTTACAGATATTGTGAGAAATTGAGATATTGAAACTACATAAAAGTCAATTTTGTTATGATTTTATTTTAGCATAGAACTGGCTAATTGCCCAGTATTGCTGCTGTTGAAATAGTTTTATTTAATCTATATAGAATTCATGCATATTCGTTGCTCGCAATGCATAAATGAAATCAATTCTTAATTTAAGCAATAAAAACTGGAAATGTAATCATTTTTTTTTATTGCTGTTCAGCTTTGCTAAATCAGTTCACTTTTGCTACAGATTTTTAAATCAACCCGTAAGACTTGTTTATTTAATTGATTAGTTTGTTTTTGCTGTTGTTGATGGAGGCATAAGACGCGAGTACAGATAAGGATAGACAAATTGTTATGTGCAACGTGTATAATCAAAGTCTGTTGTTAATAAAAAAATAAAAAAAAAAAATGAAAAAATTCGAGAGAATACTAAAATAAAGCTCTTTATAAATATTTCTATTATAAATATATTCTATTTATATTTACAGCTAAATACACACGATTATTATCCATATTCCTGTTGCTCTCTGCATATGTGCTACCAAATGTGACCGATAGGTGGCGCTGCGTCTTATCAGACAATGACTGGGCGGCATTGTTTGGCCTACTCACGTGAATGTTGTACGAGTGTTGGACGTGCTGTAGATTACACGATCAATTGACGTGAGCCTATGGAACATGCCCGTGGATATGCATAAGAACGTTTCCGTACAAGTCGACAGTGATTTTGCTTTATTGCTTCCCAGCGGAGTTTATGAGATCAAGAAGATGGAACCACGCTCCAAAATACGAACAATTATTCTGTTTTGCCTATTCTTAGCCATAGCGGGCATCATCGGCTTCGGCTACTTCTGTCAAGATCAGGTAAGTTTATCGATCGTTTATCGATCTATTATCAAATTGCTCTGACGCAAACGCCATAAATTTTCAAATTTGTTGTTATTCTTGCTTTGCTCTTGTCTCTCCGCTTGGCGCCAATGCAAATGAGTTAGCAACTGTTAAATTCATAATTTATATTGATGTTTGCATTTAGTTAAACTTATTTTTTGTGTATGCCATAATTAATTCTTGGAATTTACGTTGTGTCGCCAAAAAGTAAAAAAAAAGAAAAGAAACGAATATTAGAAGAGAACTTGTTTTTGGCTAAAGTCAAGAATTTATTAGCCTCCGTGTTTCTCAAGCGGATTACACATATCGAAATGTGATTCTCGCATTTTTATTTTTATACGAGAGAACAATTTGTTTATATGAATTTTTTGTTGTTATTTTTTGTTTTGCTTTGTTCGAAGATCTATTGGGCGCCATAAACTTTCGATTGTTTGGAATATACAGAAGAGCTTTACTAAAAAGGCGCTAGAAACTAGACCAAATGCAGTGAAAGCTCTGTGAATGCTCATATTTATAAATTGAATTATAGAAAATATCCAGATTTCATAAAACTTTCAATATAGTTCCATAGAAATGTAAATTACGTTGACTTTCGCACATTGCTCAATCAAAAATAATCTCGTAATGAACTGTTGACATGACAGCTCTTTACGATAAGCTTTAAATATGTCAAAATCATTCAAAATGTGAGGCACACAAGATGGGGAGCCTGCGGCGCAGAGGGCACTGGGTCTCGGCAGACAAGTATATAAAAAGATTCAAACATTTTTGACGGCCACCGAAACGCATAAATTCTAAACTCAGCGGGTCATCACTCGCATTACAGCTACACAAATACATATGCACATATAAATAAATATATATGCATATACATATATTATCAATTGATCGTCGTGCCAGGTCATCTCCAATATTAGCGTCTATAAATTCATTAGACGAGCTCATAAATTTCGTAATGCGCGCCAGTTTCATGCACTTTTATGACGCACATGCGGCATTAAAATTGTTTTCTTTTATTTTTTTAATCTTTTTTATACGACTTGAATATATTCTTTCCAGTCGAGGCTTAATATTCTCCATAAATTAGCTAATATTATTAAATAAGTATATAAATATAAATACAAAATATACTATACATACAATCTATACATTCTTTAAGAAACTCCCACAAGTAATTTTGGAAAAAAAAAGCTTTTATCGCAAAAACTAAGAAAAGTAATCCCATAACTACTTAATAATTGATACAAATTGCTAAATTGATACATATCGATTTGTTATTTGTATTTTTCATTTTCTTATCTCAAGATTTAAAAAAAGTCATTTTGAGCTTATTTATAATTTATGAGCCTAATAATCAGTTATGAAAATGATTATCGATAATTATAAACATAAAATCATTGCCTGTGAAATATACTTTTTGTGATACCACCTTTTAAATCACTTCAAACTGAAAATACGTAGATGAGTTGGTAATAATTTTATTGTATTAAACTTAGTTATACCGGTTTTTAACTATTCATAATAAAGTAAGGATATTCTCCTCTTGACATAATCTTTGCAAACTTAATTTGCGCCATAAACCCAAAAAATTTCTGTTATATAATTATAAAAGTCACGAACGTCTGCCATGTATCCAAATATATATGCGAGTATATATGTATATACATTCGTGTATATATATTTAGCTTTGAAGGCGCGTGCGTTTTTTATGGAAAATGAGTTCACAGTCAACTCAAAAGAAAAATAAAAAAAAATTGTGAATTTATATCGTTTGACACATCAATTGGCCAAAATTCTCAATGCTTATCAACGAAATCTATTTTGGTTACACGTCTTGCAAAAAATTGTGAGCGAAATTGGTCTATATTTATTTCATTTAGCTAATTTGCAGTCATGTTTTGTACGCCTACATCATGATGTGAGTACAGTGAAATCTCGCTGGAGCGAATAGGTCTAGTACAATTATATTTCCCTATCTTCAGTTCAGCTAAGAATGTTTTCTAGTTGACCAACTAATGCGGTTATCTATTTGAAGCAAATTGTGCATTAGCGGGGGTTCCACTGTACTCGTGTATACTCATAGGCAGCACTCATAGCAAATTGAAATGGTGAGCAAAGTGACATTAATTGGGCACAGCTGCCAGTTGGGGCAACACGCGATCTTGAATGCTTCGTCGTGGTGGTTCTTTTTCCTCTTCTTCTTTTTCTGTCCTCTCTAGCGAGACAACATGGCAGACACGAGCCACGCCCAGCTGAGGCACACATTCAAAACACATATATATATATAAATGTATTTTTTTTTTTTCAAAAATAGCTTAATTAGCGACGCGTTACGACAAATGAAAAGTGTAGCAAAATAAATTAAAGTCGTGCAACGCGTGGGTGCATTGCGTGTCCAAATTTCATTTTTGTGGAACTGCATTTGCTCTCAAATGCAGATTTATTTGAGGGTAGAAGAAATACAAATGTGTTTAGAGCTAAGCCCATTTAAGATTGCCGATGATAAGCACTAGATATATCACAAATGAATGCTCTATTTATGAATACATTAGGCTGAATGTCAATTTGGAAATGTGTCAGCTGTCTATATGATTTGAAATGGCCCAAGAGCTGAGCTAAGTATAATGTTTTATAGATATAAAACAATCTCTACATATTATGAGTTTTTGCGTGACGTTGCTGTAAATTATGATTTTTACTGTGGCGAATTCTCGAACGGCGAAACTGTGCCAGTTTGTTATCTTGCTGTCACATTTTTATACCCTGGAACTTTATTGAAAATGAGATTTTAGGGTATATTGTTTGTATGAAAATGTATGTAAGAGGCAGAGTAACGATCTCATATACCACAAAAGCTAGAGACTTACTAGCTAGTTTTACTCGTATATTTTATACGCAGTGCGAGTTTATCGTAATTACTCTGATKTTTCCCATTTTAATTAATTAATTTTTGAAGCATAACTCAAGTAAACAATTTCTTAAGCGTATCAGCTAGTTGGTAATGCAGTTGGTATTAATTTTCTGATCAACCTCTGCTTTTAATGGGAAGGCAAATTTGAGGGCAACTAAAATTTTCTAAATATTTTATTACTAGTATATATTATTTCAACTAATATATTTCTTTTACATCTATGTATATATTAATTATTTACTTGTTTGCATTTATGATATTGGAATATTCTTCACTCGAGCTGCTGGCATTTGTTTGGCTTTCCATTTCTATTTGCTTAAAATTTATCACTTGCCGCTTGCTACTCGAAATCGAGATGCCTCAAATTCAGTTCTCTGTAGCGCAGCAAAAATGTGTTAAAAACTTATCGGAAACACAAGAGCAACAAACAAAATTGAACACTCTTACTCTGAATATTCATTAGGTATGTGCCACAACTTTGGACGGCTTCTTTATATTCACATCGATTTCCATTTATTCAAATTTCCACGACGGTAAACTTCAGCCGGACAACGTGTTGTATATTTCTATTTATATTGTTTATTATTATTGCCTTGGTAAAAAAAAAATCACATTCATTAAATGCGAACGTTTGTTGTTGTTGTTTGTGTTAATTTTTGACGTTATTTTGAGTTGTTTTCATTGTAAATGGGGGAGCGGCGCGATGTAATTATCCAAAGTTACAAAAAATAAATTACAATGCTGAAGTCTCCAATTGCGTATCCGCTTATTTTAATTTCAGCACGTGTTTTGTTGTTGTTTTATTATTTTTTTTTTTTTGAAAATAATTGAATTTATTTACTGCTGGAACTTTGAGCTTTGTCTGCTCCGTATTAATTATGAGCAAAAGTTTTCGTAATTGTTGACCCAATGTTAAACTATATGTATTTATGAGTTTGTTTTTAGTACATCGGTCTGGCTCATAAAATGTTGAAGTATTTCTTTTCTCCCTTTGAAATATGCGTGAGCATGAGTCCATAAAGATATTGCTTTGTTTTTCGCCTCTCTATTTTTCCGGCCACAAATAAAGTTTTTCTCTTTATTGTTTTAACATACTTGCGCATACAGCAAAGTTCAACTCTCTCTCTCTCGCTCGCTCGCCCTCCCATCCGTCGCTTTCGGTTTTTGTGGTTTCAATATTTACTACAAATTTATTGCTGTATTAGGAAACTGCAAACACTTGTCCTGCACGGTCTTAAAAAAAAGAAACACGCAACCGGATTTGATTGGTCGTAAAAATCAAAACTTCTCATTTCAACGGCAGCCTATGTACATAATGTTTCGGTTTTCTAATCTTTCTCTAGACATTTTATTAGCATATATTTGGTTTATGATCGCGCGACAATTTATGGCCCCAGTTTGATTTAGCTGTCGAAGCGTTTGCTTGTCGTACAAGGTGTGTCGCACTTTAATCAATTTAATTGTGTGTCGGATTCGAAACACATCCACAGCGAGATATGTCCACACATAATGTATACAGAGTCGTTAAATTAAGATGAGAGAGAAGCCCTTGGAAAACCCTGATCCAGACTTGTGGTGAAATACAAAATAAAGTAAATTCATAATGAAATAAATAATATCTGATTATTAGCTTTGGTTCCTCTTTAACTGTATTGGCTGCTCGCAATCTTAACTGTTTTTTTTTTTTCACACAAGATTTATTGGTTGAAGAAACTAAACGATCGTTTTATCTGAGAGTTTCCAGTGAAACCACAAGCTTCTACCTCGTAGCTAGTCAATTTATCAATTTAAATTGTGTTTCTAATGAAATATCAACGACTTTCTTTGATTTATGAACTCGCCCAATGTTCAAATGTAAATGATATTTACGAAATGTGCTCAGGTTTCTTATCTTAATTTATGCACGCCTAATGCTTGACTGTGTAGCTCGCCTTGTGATTCGCAACTAGTTTCAGTACAGGTCCAAGTTGAATATATATTTATTATATACATTGTATTCTATATATTATGTCCCTACTTCGGAATTCCGTCAATTAACACTCTGGTCAATTAAAGCTTCTTAAAT